TTTTTTATTGTTTAATGTTTTTATTTAGAATTATTGAATTGAATTATATTACTTAGGTATCGTATTTAACCCATTTACTTGTGAAATATTATTCAATAAATGAATTGAATAATTATTATTCTGCTTTTTTATTGTTTAATGTTTTTATTTAGAATTATTGAATTGAATTATATTACTTAGGTATCGTATTTAACCCATTTACTTGTGAAATATTATTCAATAAATGAATTGAATAATTATTATTCTGCTTTTTTATTGTTTAATGTTTTTATTTAGAATTATTGAATTGAATTATATTACTTAGGTATCGTGTTTAGCCAATTTACTTGTGAAATATTGTTCAATATGGTACATTTATATATTAAGTTTCATTTGTTTTTTTGTTTTTGTATTTGCAATGTTTTACTTTTATTATTATTATTATTATTGAAATGAATTTAATTATTTATTATATTTAATCCTGTACTGTTGTTCAGTGCTTGACTGTTATTGGCCTTACCTGGCTGTTGTCAAGCATTTAAATAAATGGATTTAATTGAATTTTTATTAATATTATTCCAACTACTCAACATTTTGCAGGGTATTTAATTCTATGTACCTGAGACAAACCTTGCCCCTGAAATAGATACTGCAGCAGCTAACTCTCAAACAGATTTTGTTTTTTTAATACGTGGTACGTGGTTATATATTTTACATGAGCGTCTTTCGAATGATGTATGATATTCTTAGAATGGCGGTTTTCTGAAGTTCCCTAATGTCGTGTTCGCCTGGGATGTTGCTCCTGTAATTATTGAAATTATTTTTGCTTTCAATTTCCACATTCGCTGTATTTCAATGAGAAGGTCCTTATATTCCAAGATCGTCTTCGCTTCCTTCCTAATTACATTTCTCTCGTTTCGTATTGTTATATCAATTAAGAGAAAAGTCCCATTTTTGTTTCGGATTACAAAATCTGGTTTGTTATTTGTGATGGTTCTATCTGTTTTGACTTGTCAGTTCCACGAAATAGTTATTTGGTTATCCTGACTTGTCGCCACTGCCCTCGGGATGTGTTCATACCAATATTTCTTTTCTAGCTTTACCCCAGATTTCCTGCACATGTTAAAATGTAACTGAGTACAGACACGAACATGTCGTTGTATATAATGCTCTTTTGCCAGCAATGGGAATCCAGCCACAACGTGATTTGTCGTTTCATCAAATTACTGATATAATCTGCATTTGCTGTCTGTATCTTTTTTAATATTTCGGCCGCATAATATTTAGTGTTTAGTGCCTGGTCTTGTGCTGCTATAATTTGACTTCATTATTTTTTAATTAACATTCGTTTATTTTGAATCATTTCAACATATTGCTGGAATTACTGGAATGTTGTAAATGGAAAACATTCCATATTTCACAATGTTTTTTTTAATATCTCAATCCTTAAGGCTTCATTGAGGTTATAATGAATCAAAGATGGCAAATTTAACACATAATGAAATAAGAAATGAATTTCACTTTTAATAATTCAAGTGTCAAAGCATTTTCTTAACATCTCGATTATGAATTGAAAATAATATTAATCTGTGGGTCTACAAAATTTGTGTCCGCTTAGAACATCAAAGAATTGACATGGCTAAATCTGGAAAAACTAAAATAAAAAACAAAAGACAGAGAAATGTGGAGAAACAGGGTTCATGAGGTCGCTACGAGTCGGAAACGACTCGACAGAACATGAAGTGAGCACATATCGAGACTCGCTAAAGACGATCTGTCATTACACGTGGGCCTCATGTAATCTATGACGTAGGCCAATTAAGTTACAAACTTGCCCTGAAAAAGGCTCCCACTCTGATAGACCAAGTTAACCGCCTTCAGAGGTGGGGAGCTATTAGCCGAACTGTTGTGGGAATACGCTGGAAATCCCTAGACTGTGAGTACAAATCATCAGATCAGTCATTATGGAAGATATCTGGTAAGGTCATGCGAGTTCCAACATCATCACCCCTTTCCACGTGCCGGGAGGACTAATTCTCTCAGATTCCGAGAAAGTAGACGCTCTGGCTGGTAGGCGTAATCCTCAGTTTTAGCTGGCAGTTTAAGTTAATGAGGAGATGCGTACATACGAGTATGCCCCATAAGTGAACCGAGATTAACCGGTCCGTCGTAGGTATTACAGGCCATCAAGGGACTGAAATTTGGCAAGGCTTTGGGCCAGAACGGTTTTAAAAAAAACAGGGTCCTGAAACATTTAGCATAGCGCGCCGTAACATTTTTGTCAAAGTTTTTAACGCAATACTCCGCTGAAGTTCCCGTATGCTCGTTTGTGGTATCCGTACTAAGCCGATAAAACACCCTATAATGTATTCTCCTCTAGACACTTGTCAATGTCTTGTAGAACACCCCGCTCACTAGAGTTCTAGGAGAAGCAGACGTGAACGATCTGCTGTGTGACGAGTAGTTGAGAATTCGACTAGTGTCAGAAATCTTCGACACGATCTTGGACAAAGGTCCTGGTGAAAACCATTTCTACTGCCGGAGGACCGAAACGTCCTTAACAGGCACATATACACGCCTAACATACAAGTAAGACACAATTCTCACAGCCACGACCCACATACCATCGCCTCTCATCAGTTACCAGACGACGTATTACGTCATACTTCTCTGGGATTGGAGGATTGTCATTAAAGCCTCAAAGAACATGGCTGTATTCTTTGACTGCGAGATACATCCAAAGGACCTGAGGCAGTTCAGTTTTTCGGGGACCCAATACAGTAAGTCGGAACAGCAAGGTATCTTTGGGTGACCTTTGACACACAGCTATCCTAATCGGTATACGTCAGCCACGTAAAAAAATATGAAGTTCAAAGAGTGAGTGTGATTGATTCTTCTTTAATAAATAGATGTGGCCTCTTTATCAAAAACATCGCGCTACTTCAAAATAACCCATCCGGCCTACCATAACGACACAGCCCTTAAAACGTGTAGCCCTACTCCGCTACCACGATGTCCTCCATGTTCTTCCTCAGTTCTAATGCAAATACCAGGCCGTGCGCCTATAACCAATGTGGAGACTTTCAGCCAAAATGTTTCTTCTTAACTAGCAGAAGCCTTGGACTGGACTCGGTATTAAAATTATATGTTTCCATGCAAATATTTTTGGTTTACTATCTGATAATGTAACTTCCCCATTCGTTAAGAGACATATGAATATTTTGCAGACTACAGGATTTAAGCACTTTTAACGTTGAATAACGTTTATAAAATCACGGTTACACTCGACTGAAACTGTAAGATGCAAGGTAACGCTGGTGTGTAACTTCTTCAAACGCCAATAACTCGAGACCTATGTCAGATAGAGAACATAAACCTATATGTAAATTAAAGAGTAAATAAAGGGCTTTTTCTTCATGATGTTTACTTTATTCTATAATGCATATTTTACACATTGTTTAAATAATTACCCAAAACATGTAATAACTACACCCTCGTTCCTTCAACCGCTTGCCACGTCTAAAGCGTAAGAGTTAGATCTGGACATATTGCGAGTGAAATACGTAAATAAACACGAGCTTTTCAAATTTGCAAAAAGATTTCAGCTAACTCTTACTGTTTCGGAGTTTTTGCCATTTATTTTGTAACAAAGAACGGTTCTAGAGTGGGTGTGTTGAGTACATGACGCAACACGTAGATAAGCTGTCGGTGGATGACGTCACGTATAGATCAGATGTAAAGGTATACATTAATGTGTAAATAAAATTTTATTTCGGTACAAATATAATTCTACAGTTAAACGTTATTCAACGTTAACTAGGGAACCGTGGTTCCACTGTCAATTTTTCTTTTTGACGTAAATACGTCTATAAGGAAGGGTCATTCTTCAAAAAAGTGTAACGAAAAAGGGAAACGAAAAACTGTAACAAGTGTACCTACGGAACGTCGTGTTTACTCGGAATTGTTGTTACCTATAAAACATTACCTTATCTTAC